AGACTGGCGCTCCCCGCCCGAGGCTCCCTGTGTGCCGGAAGTCCTCCGTCCGGGGAACGACAAGGTCGGGAATGAGTCGCCGGTCCGAAGACCCCAAAAGACCGGCGCTCCCCACCCGAGGCTCCCCGTGCACAGGGGGCCCACCCTCCGGGAGCCAGCAGGCAGGAAGCTAGCCAGCCAGAAGGCTGGCGTTCCCCACCCGCAGCTCCCTGTGCACCGGAAGCCCTCCTTCCGGGAAACCCCCTCATTTGAACATTTTATTCTCATTTCTCAGTATCTATTATACATTTTGGTCCTTCTTTGTCACTTATTTGGTCACTTTTGGATTCTCAAACCAGAGAAAATGTATTTAAATATGGGTGTCCAATTTATTTCACTTACAAGTATGGTCTCTGGGTGCATACCTTTACCTACAAATGTCTCAAATACCTTCTCTATGGCTGAGTAGTAGTCCATTGTAGTAAGAAAACAAAAAAAGCCATTTTCTTTATATATTCATCAGTTTATGGACATTTGGGTTGCTTCCTATCGGGCTGTTAGCTATTATAAACTGTGCTGTTATAAACATGGGTGTGTATATATTGCAGTGGTATGATGCTTTTAATTCTTTCAGGAAGATACCAAAGGGGAACAGCTGAGTCAAATGGAACCTCTAGTTCTAATTTTTTGAGAAATCTCTACACTGATTTCCACAGTGGTTGCACTGGTCTACACTCCCACCAACAGTGGAGAAGAGTTCTTTTTGCCCCAAAGCCCCACCAGCATCTGTTATTGGTTGATTTCTTGACAACAGCAGTTCTTTCTGGAGTGAGATGGAATCTCAGTGTTGTTTTAATTTGCATCTCTTGAATGAACAGGAATGTTGAACAGCTTTTTATGTGTTTATTTGCCATCTACTTCTTCATCTGAGAAGTGTCCATTCATTTTAGATGCCCATTGTTGGGAGGGTCTTTCAATTTGGGGGGTCTGAATCTTTTGAGTTCTATATATATTCCAGATGTTAGTCCTCTGTCTGAGAAACAGCTGGCAAAATTTTTTCTCATGCTGAGGGTTGTCTCTTCACTCTGTTGCTGGTTTCTTTCGCTGTGCAAAAAGCTTTTTAATGAGATGAGACCCCAGTTGTTGATTTTTTGTGATAGTTCCTGTACAATTAGAGTTTTGTTCATAAAATCTTTGCCTACACAAGTGTCTTCAAGAGTTCTACCTATTCTCTCTTCCAGCAGATTTAGTGTTTTAATATTTAGATCTTTGATCCATTTCAATTATAGAGTTTAGTGCATGACAAAATGGGTCTACTTTTAATCTTCAGCATGTGGAAAGCCAGCTTTGTTTTTGATTTTTTTTTGAGACAAGGGCTTGCTATGTAGTTCAGGCTGGCCTCAAATTCTCACCAATCCTCCTGCCTCAGCCTCCTGAGTACTGGGATTATAGGTACACACCACCATGCATGGTATTATTTTTTTTTTAATATTCCTGTCTTCAAATATACTACGAGCCATTAGAACAGAATCAATTTGCTTATAGTTGCAGTCCCAGTGCCTAGTAAAGAACACCTTGAATTATTTATCAAATAAACGAAAAGAAACTCCAGGATTCCAACTACACTACCTAACCAGAGAATCAGACCCCCTTCCCTTCTCTGGATGTCTGCACAACTGGAAGGCTTCAATAGTCTTGCTCATTAGTAGGCTCCCTAGGAAGGACTCAAAACAAGCACAGGGGATGTTGCAACATTTTCTGATCCAAAAGCCCACAAGTGCTTCTAAGTAGACTGTGGTTAACTTGTCAATAACTACTAAAACCCTGAAATAGGCCATATAAGCCCTACCAAAGTTCTCGGTCTTTCTAGTTTTACTAATGTACACGGTGGAGATATACTACAGAGGACTACAGAGTAAGACTCTATCTCAAAAACCGGAAGAGGAGGAGAGGAGGAAGAGGAAGAGAGAAGAGAAGAGAAGAGAAGAGAAGAGAAGAGAAGAGAAGAGAAGAGAAGAAAAGAGAAGAGAAGAGAAGAGAAAAGAAGCATGGTGGCACACGCCTGTAATCCCAGCACTCCTCAGGAGGCTGAGGCAGGAGGATCTTTTCAAGTTCGAGGACAGCCAGACCCTGTCTCAAAAAAAGACCAAAAAAGAGAAGAGAAATCTGTTAGAGCTGGGTAATAGCGCACATCTGTGATCCCAGCACTTGGAAGCCTAAAGCAGGACGGATGAGAGTTTGAGGCCGGCTTGGGCTACAAAGCAAGACTCTGTCTCCAAAAAATTTTTTTAATTTGAAAAAAAAAAAAAAAAAAAAAAATCATACAAAGTTTAAGTTCAGAAAGTGCTCAGGACTTGATGAAGATGGTGTGTGTGGTTTCTAAAGAAGGAAAAATGAACAAAAGACAAGGAAAAAAAAGATCTTGAAAAGGTGTCCCAGGGAGTCTTTAGAATCATGGGGGAAACCTCAGAGGCATCTGCTGCAGGCAGTGGCCCTAGCAGTAGGATTCAGAGCAGCAGCACCTGTTTTACAAGACAAAGGTTAGAGACAAGTGATTCTCATCTCCCATCTGACATTAACTATTAACTGGTAGAGTAATCCTGGCTCAGTCATATCCCTTCTGGGCCTGTTTACTCACCTAACTGTCTGACCACTTTCTTAGGATAAAGGGACAAATGGAAGAAGATTATTTGCCATCTAGACAATAAGTTAATAACACAACAGAAGTCTTTCAGCTTGGACAGGACCTGCTTGCTGAAATCGTGACAGCCAGTCCCCTCCCTTTACAACCAGCAAAATCCAGAGATGTGGCCCTGCAGGACAGTTCTCATTCCCATTGCTTAATGGGTTAAAAAAAGTCATCTCTGGCCATCAATTTCTTCCTCATAAGCAAAACTGAGGGTAGAAGACCCACCAGCCCCAGTCCACAGGACCAAGCAGAATAAAAGAAGCAGAGGTTCCCAAATATTGTCAAGCTATAAGGGATTCAACATACTGGAGCTAAGGGAGACACCTCACAGGTGCAAGGGGAGACGGTATCACTGTCCCATTGACAGCAGGACAAAAACCACAGGATTACAAGCCTCCCATTCCAGAGGAAAGTTACAGGGTACCCCTGTAACCATGAAATTAATTGTGCTAAGCAATCAAGACACTGCACCAGGTGGCAACAGTCTCTAAGCACGCCTCTGCTCTTCTGCTCCACACCTTCTCCTTCCAGGTGGCAGCGATGCAGTGGGGGACAGATGCCACCACTGGCAGCACAGGCAGTTTTCTAACCTTCCAACAGCAGAGCCCACACGCCACCCCTCAAAAGTTCTAAAAAAAAGAAAGGTGCTTACTACAACAGCACATATGCTGAACTGAATAGTGCAGAGAAGATGAGCAGGTTCCTGAGCAAAGATGGCCAGTTAACTCATGCAGCACCCAATATCCTTTTGTGGTTTGTTTGTCTGGTTTTTTTTTTTTTTGGTTTTGGTTTTGGTTTTTCTCTGGTACCGGGAACCGAACTCACGACCTTGCGCTTGCCAGGCAGGCGCTTTTGCCGCTGAGCTAAATCCCCAGCCCTGTTTGTTTTTTTTTTAATCACTTCACAGCATTTTGGCTAAGATTAAGTGTTTTGGTTTTCTGAGACAGGCTTTCACTTTGTAGTTCAGGCTGGCCTCAAAATCACAACAACCCTCCAGCCTCAGCCTCCCAAGGGCTGGGATGGCAGGCATGCTCACCATGCCCGGCTCCCAATATCCTTTATGGAGTTTCAGGCAGGCCAAATGAAAGCTGCTATACAACACTGTGCTTATTATGAACGATATCAAACATATACTTAAATAAATATGACATTAGATACTTCACAGTGTTTTGGGTTTTTTTTTAAAGCACAATTAAAGAAAAGGAAATGTTTTAGCTCAAGGCCAGGCCTTCTAGCTGAGCCTCTTCATACATATTCTCATACTGCTAAGTTGGAGAAAGCCAGCCACCAGGTGGGCCAGTAACAAAAGCACAGATGAGTGGGAGTCATTAGTGCCAAAGAAATGCATCTCAAAACCAGACACTTAGGATGTTTCACAGCCAGCTGTGCTAAGGAACAGACTACACACTGTTAATATTCCTGACTCCAGAAATCTCTACCTGGAGGGTCTTGGCAAATATAACAGGTGTACTTCTCAGGTACATTTTCTTCCAGTAATCCCATGCAGACCCCATGCTGCCAGCACTGGCACTCTTCACACTGTTAGAATTAAAGCAACAAAAATTAAACTCAGAAAATATCCTGCATCTAGAAGTTAAGACTTCACCAGGAAGGGTGGGGTGATAAGGAGAAGAACGGGAAGAGTAGTCCCTACAGACTCTACTAAAATGAGCTTCAGCACACATCTGAAATGGCATTCTCCAAAATGAAGTCACTGGCCACGTAGGGCGCTATATTTAAATGAACAAGTTAAGTTAAAAATCAGTTCCTGAGTCCTATGAGCCACATCTGAAATGCCCAATAGCCACCGGAGGCTGGCAGCTACTGCAGCAGACAGCACAAAGACCATTCAGATGTATTGAACAGTGCCAATCTCAGAATGAGAGTCTAGAGGCTTTCACTTTCCTGATCACATTATACGGACTGAATGAAAATTGTTCAAATCCTTAGATAAAGGCTAACTTGAAATAACAAAAGGCTGAGTTTGAATTATGGCTGAAGCATTCACTAGCTGTATAATTTTGCACAGGTCACGCCACTTTGGGCTTGTTTCCCTATCTGCAAAATGATACTATTCCTACCAATTCCACTACTGAGGCGAGCATACAGCTTTTTACTAATAGACAAGCCAGTTACTTGGAACGCCCTGAAGTGATCATGTGTTAGCACTTCCCATTTGTTCTCACTAAGCCTTACCAAAGGTCACACAGCTAATGAGAGACAATGGTGGATCAGAACATGAACCTGGATAATTATAAAGCTAGCTCTCTTGATCAATAGGCTCAACTGCCTTTCCAGGATAGAGGATAGAAAGTAAACAGAGTGAAGGAGCTGACAGTGAGGGTGGCACTTAGTGATATTTTGATAACTAGAGACAGCAAGTCTAAAAGTCAGATTCCCAAAGATACTAGGGATACATTAAGCAATTCGAATCCAAGGCCCCAAACCTTAATACTCAAACAATTTATAAGCTCTGGAGGGTGGACTGTGAGCTTCCAAACATGATCTTGATGGTGGGTCACTAGCCTTGCAACAAGGCACTAGAAATTACATGCTCTCGAACCGATCTTATCTGAAGTCTTTTAGGTCTGCCCTTGTCAGTTAGCTTCCTGGAGGCTTTTTGTTTGCCCAGAGAAGCCCACTTGGTATCAAATAGGTCATACCATCAAGGCTTCTCTGATCGGTTCCAGAGCATGTAATTTACCAATGAGGAAGCTAAAGTTCGGAGAAGAGAAGTACACTGGACAAGACAATAAAGGCAGTGAGTAGCAGAAAACAGACTAGTAATTAAGAATGATATTCTCTTTCACCAATGACTTGGTCTTAAGAACTAAAACTCACCAAAGATGAATCAAGTAACAGCTAAATTTCAAGATGCACAATGACAGCTTTTCTCATGTGGGTCAAACTATACATTATTCACTTTTAAAAGTTTAAATTCAGGCTGGGCAGGATGGTGCAACCTATAATCCCAGCATTTGGGAGGTGGAGGAAGGAGGATCACTGTAGGTTCAAGGCCAGCCTGGGTTACACAGTGAGTTCAATAAACATAACAGATTTGAAAGATCTCTCTGAATCATGGTGTTCCTCCTGCCTCAGCCCCCCAAGTGCTGCAATTGCAACTGTGTGCCTCCACACTCAGCTCTCCATCAAAACAATTTTTAAATATTATTTGAAGAACAGAGATTAAAGTCATGGCACAATGTATCCCCTTGCTGGACAGTAAGAACACCATAAGGAATCACTTCTTGGGCTAATATACCAAAATACTGTAATCCCAAAATAAATTAATAACTTTGTGACTAGGTAGATTTCTAAAATTAACAGCCAAGACATATGTGAAAAGAAAAAGCAGGACAACTGTACTAGCCCTACCAGCTATATTAAAATTATAAAAGCATAACCATTAAAATTGTATAAGCAAACACTGATGGCTCAAAGGAAAAGAATGCAGAAGAGATCCAAACACATAAAATGAAGTAAATATAGGCAGCATTTTACACAGTGGAGCATGGTATTAGGACAACTGGTGGAGCAAATATTTGTATTATTTAAAAAAATTAATGAAACCTCAGAAAAACTAAAAGAAACCATAAGAAATGCTGTGATGTTATACATTTGTTTCTGCAGTGCGAGGAACAGAACACAGGGCTTCGGGTACACTAGGCAAATGCTTTGGCAAGTGCTCTACTCCTGAGCAACAACCCAGCTCAGTCCCAGCTGTCAAAGAATTCATTAAAAAAAAGTTGTCTTTTTTTCTTAAATTTGTTACACGTGACCTCATAAAAAACAAGCAAAACATCTGTAAGACATTCAGAAGACAAGATAAAAAGTGCCAAATATATCTGTAACTCTTAGAACAGCCTTAACAAAAGTTCTACAAAAAACTTTTACAGCCAAGTGTGGTGGTGCAGGCCTGTAATCTAAGCACTCTGGGAAGACGAGGCAGGACAATTGCCAAGTTCAAAACCAACCTGAGCAGCTTAGTGACTGAGTGAAATCAAGTTCCTAAACACATACATATGAACATAAATAAGGGTTGGGGATGGCCCTGGTTTAAATCTCCAGTACCTAAACACACAAACACAAGTAAAAGAGGGGGAAAAAAAGAAAGAGAAGAAGAGAGGAGGGAGAGAGGGAGGGAAGGGGGAAGCAAGCCAGGTTTGGTGGTGCACCTGGGTAATCTTAGCTTTTGGAGAGCTGAGTTCAAGGCCAGCCTGGGCTACACAGAGAGATGAAGACCAGTTTGAACTATATAGTAGACCCTATCTCAAAAAACACGAAAAAGCTGGGCATAGTGGTACACCTGTAACCCCAGCACTCGGGAGGCTGAGGCAGGAGGATCACCACAAATTCAAGGCCAGACTGGGCTACGTAATGACTTCAAGGCCAGCCTCAACTACATAGTGAGACCCTGTCTCAAAAAATCCAAAAGTAAAAAAATAAAAACACCACCCCCCAAAAAAGAAAATCAGGACCCAGGAATATAGCTCAGTGGCACAAGCACCTGCCTGGCAAGCGTAAGGTCCCAAGTTTGATTGCCAGTACCAAAAAAGAAATTTTAAAAATTTAAAAAAAAAAAAAGAAAATCAGAGAGATAAATTCAACTATATACTAAACCAAAATTCAAAAGTGAATTTCAAAAAGTGAAGCCATACTGACCTACAGCACTATTAAGGCAAGGAAATAATAGCCTAACACAGAAAGCAACCAAGCAGGGCAAGGCCTTCTTCTCATAATCTTCACAGACCAGGTAAATTCTTACTGTCAGATGGACAGATGCCTCCTTTACTGGAAACAGCCAAGCCCCACAGTCCACAGCCACCCCCAGTCCACAACAACAGAGGTAGGCTCCAGGCAGCCTTTCTATACAGTGTGAAGCTGCCCACACCCCTCAACCTCCACCCAACTCCAGACCAGATGAATAGACCAAGTCTGGCCCAGGACAAACCTCTCTACCTCTCCAAAGACTAATATTCACCTGAGCCAGGCTAGAATTCCATGCTCGGGAATTCAGAATTAGAACTGAGATTCCAAGCTCAACCTACCTAGTCTCTTGAACACAAAAAGACAAAACAGAAGATGGCAAGGGGACACAGCTATTTGACCACTTTACATCTTCTAAGAAAATAAGTAAGCAGTAACATAAAAATAAATAAATAAATAGAAGAAAAGCAGTAGAAAAAAGGAAAATAACCAAATTGACTCTGGAAAGAAGCAGGAAACAGCGTGACCAAGCCTTTGTGTTCCTAGACCCTGTCTACTTTCTCAACAATGTTTGTACTTATTCCTAAAAAATTGTAACTAATACAAGCAGGACTTACGTTCAAAAAACTCAGGTTTCCTGGCCAGCCGGGCAGCTGCCAAGACACCCAGGGTATTTATGACAGTCCTCAGAGATAGCCAGACAGCAGCCGCCTCCACCAGAACTGTAAGTAACAAACAGGAAAAGAAGGGCCACAGCAAGCAAGGGGCCAGTGACGGTCTCCTCAAGTAGGTAGGGAGGTCCCACCCCGCAGGAACATCCCAAAGGAGGAAGATGACACATCAGGAAAACAATAGGAAACAAAGAAGTTATAAAACCAGCCTCTGTTTCTTTAGGCCACAAAGAAAATTTGCATCAAGGAGATGATGGTACATAAGGTTAAAATGCCACCCCAAAGTTTGAGTCCCTACTGGCCTCACTGTGTGACCATTGGCAAAGCCCTTAACCCAAGGCAGGCTTCAAATGAGGAGAGGATGAGAGGTTTGTAATCAATGATTCCTCAAAGCCTCTTTTATTCTACAGATGGGCTATTTACAACAGCCTGAAATTCCCAGAAAATCAAATCAAAAGCAAACTCAGTCTGCTGCTATTCGTACCAAATATCTAGGGCTTCTGATGTGACTCGCCACTGCTGTTAGCCTCAACCCTCTCTCCAAGAACCAGCAGGGTTTTTCTTTTGGTTTTTCTGTTTTTGTTTTTTGCTTCTTTAGACCTATGTTCTGCAAGTTCTACCTACCTGAATCATGAAATCATTTTCCTCCTGGACCTCACAGATGCAACGGACCACCTCAAAATCATAGTGGTCCTCTCCATCGAGTTCCTCATCTGGGTTGGTAGTCACATCGACATCTTGACCATACTCCTCATCACTCCAAAGAAAGCTCTCAGAAGAAGACTCACTCAAATTATCCTCCTCTGGAAGAAGGAAACCAAAAGTTACTATTTTAAATTATAGTTCAAAATTTATAAAGCTCTAGCGTGTCCAGAGTAGACAATGATGTTATAACCCACTCCTCAAGGACCTGCACACAGGGGTGGGAAATGGAGGCACCAATCTGTTCCCTGGGTTTGTCATTAGTAACAGTCCAAACAGCATGCGCTGACTGGCCAATACTCCATTTCCTCATCTCACTGGGAGAACAGGAAGCCCAAGGTCAGTGGGTGCTCAAGGTCAAAGAGCTTGTGGCAAAGAAGCTACAACTCTCCATGAACCAGACAGTCCTTCATGCATGGCACTCTGACACGCTGTTCAGCCTTCCCTATCCAGCCAGGATCTGGTCTGCTGTCAGTCCATGTCCCAGCTATCTTTCGAGCTCTGCAAACAGTGGAGAGGGAGTGAAAGATCCCAGGGACAATTAGAAAAAGAGTACCACCCCTCCCCACCTAGAACAAGGACAGATTTCTTCTGTACCAGACACTATCTAAGTACTACTTCGTATCTTCAGGCCACAGTCAGCGTCCTTACCGGATGCTTTCAATTTCCCTTTGTGGTTGCCAGATTCTGAGCCATGGAGCTGTGGGCTCATATGGACCACAGGCTTGTGTGAGGACCCACACCTGGTGACAGCAAATGTCTTCGGTGGCGATGGTTCCTGGGAAGTGTCACTGATCTCCTCACTGCAGGGGCATTCTGGAAGAATGGCAGACATCATCAGGGCATTCCAGAATCGACCTCATTCAACCAACAAGTCTGTTGTTTAAGGAGCACAAAGGCTTGGGGACAGTTCTACCACAAAGAGGCATGGAAGGCAGATTTAAGGATGTATATTTTTAGTCACCTCTGAGAATCCTAAGCCCAAATTCTTCCTCCTTCTGTCACCTTCTCCCTCCTTCCTGATAAGACTGTTTTTCTAAGCCAGAAGCCACACTGAAAATAAAACCTGGCATCTCTTTGGCTCCCAAGGATGGAACACAGATTTTCTGAAATATTACTGTGTAGTTAAACTAACACTTTTCAAGAAGTGAATCCTTTCTTTAGAGATGTATGTTCAAAACTCATGTGTATGAACAAAAACAGTCGCTCATCTGTACATCCTCTTGGACTCTGATGCCTTCTTAAATGCCAGCTGGACCTTGTAAGACCTGGGGGGAGTGTCTCACCCCAAAACTCCACCAGAGCCCAGGCTAGGTGGCACACACAAGCCCTGAGAGAAGCCTTCTGGTCCTTACTCTCCTCGGTGAAGCTCAGAGGCCACCAGGAGAAGAAGCCACCCCTCCCCACCTAGGACAAGAACACTCAAGGGGAAAATTACCAAGTTTGGTTTTCTTTTTCTTTTTCTTCTTCTTCTTTGGTTTCACTCTCACAAACTCTTTGAACTTCTTTTCTTTATTCTTTTCCTTGTCTTTTGCAGCTAGAATTAAAAGTTGAAGTGTTAGCATTTTAACATTTTCTTTTCAACGTTTAGACATTTATTCTTTTTTGCTCTTGTTGTGTTTTTTGTTTTTTGGGTTTTTTTGGTACTGGGAATTGAACTCAGAAGCTTGTGTCGCCAGGCAGGTGCTGTGCCACTAAGCTATATCCATGGCACCAGACGTTTACTCTTAATAATCAAGCATGTTCAATGGGAAGACTGACAGGTGGCAGGGTCCTGGCAGGCTCTGCCTGGAAGGCACCTTCCTTGTCTCTGCTGGCTCTGTGGGGCATTGCCACAGCAGCACCACTCAGCCTTCAGCTCTGGCAGACACTGGCTGCTGCCTGATTACAAATGAATTTTGGTAGAACACACTGTACTCAGGACTAGGATGTGGACTGGGCACCAAGATTTTGTCTCATTTTTTTAAACTGAGGTTCAATTCACGTAACATAAAACTCATCACTTCTTTTCTTTCTTTTTTTTTTTTTTTTTTTTTTTTTTTTGACTTTTTGAGACAAGGTCTCACTATATAGTTCAGGCTGGCCTTGAACTCACTATGTGGCCTAGGCTGGCCTCGAACTTGGGGGTAATCCACCTGCCTCAGCCTCTGGAGTCCTGGGATTACAGGTGTCTGCAACACCCAGCTCATCTCTTTCAAAGGAACAATTCATACCTTCTCCAGTTCTAGGATCAAACTCAGGCCTCATGCACATTAGGCACCCAGAGTTACATCACCAGCCCTTTTATTCTGAAACAAGATCTCACTAAATTGCCCAGGCTAGATTCAAACTAGTGATCCTCTGGTCTCAGCCTCCAGAAAAGCTGGGATGACAGGTATGTACCATGACACCTCTCAGCTGTTTACAGCAAAATTCCTTATCTGTACTCCCTTTCCAAGCTCCCCCTTCACTGCTTTTCCTAATTCCATTCTAAAAAGCATCCCACCTACCATTCCACTGAGACCAGTTTTCAAAGTGAACGGCCTCGCTATGGAAAAATTCAGTTATTCCTTCTTTTATCCTGCCAAATATATATGTAGTGTTGCAAAAACGCATCATACCTTACTTTTAAATGTCAACAAGAACTTAAGCTACATGTATCTGTGATCTAGCCATTCTAGAGGGCAGTTGTCCAGATAGAGACTGAGAGAGAAAGGATCAAAGCAGCTCTAGTTGTAATCACCCAAATGTCCTTCAGCAAATAAATGGACAAATAATTTGCAGCATATCCACAGAATGAAAAACTTTTCAGCAATAAAAATGGGAATTAGGCCAGGTGTAGTAGCACACGCCTATAATCCCAGCATTCTGGAGGCTGAGGCAGAAGGACTACTGGAAGTTTGAGACCACCCAGACTATACAGTGAGATCAAGGTCAGTGAATTCAAGACATAGCAAGACCCTGCGTCAAATAAATCACAAGTGTGAATTATTAACATATGCAACAGGGGCTGGGGATTTAGCTCAGCGGCACAGTGCCTGTACGGCAAGCGCAAGGTCCTGAGTTCGATCCCCGGTACCGGAAAAAAAAAAAAAAATACAGGCAACATATATGAATCTCAAAATAAGTATGCTGAGTGAAAGAAGACAAACAAATTAGTGCATACGACATGATTCTGTTCATACAAAATTCTAAACAATGAAATCAAATCTAACAGAAGGTAGAACAGCGGTTGCCTGGAGATCAGAGGAAAAGAGGAGATGGGAGGAAAAGGAGCCTGGCAGGCTCGTGAGTTCAGAAGGCAATGTCCACTGTCATTGTAGCGCTATATATGATTTAGCCCTTACCTCTCTGAGCTTTAGTCTCCCCATCTGTAAAACAAGAGTGGTTTACACAGGTTGTTATGTGGAGTAAATGAGATACTTGTGGGTTCCTTGGACATGACAAATGTTTAGTTAAAGTGAACCCCACCTCATCTGCCTGTGATTGTCTAGATTCACGAATCTTATCAAATTACACAATTTAAATATGTACACTTCATTTTACAACATTCAAGCTGGGAAGAAAAAACTAATTCAGCCAGGCATGGTGGTGCACCCAGCACATGGGAGGCCAGGGCAGAAGGATCACCAACAGTTTTTGGCCAGCCTGGACTACACACTGAGTTCAATGCCAGCTTCAACTTCACAGTAAAATCCCATTTCAGAAAACAAAAACAAAAAAAGAAAAAACCCAATGCAGCTGCATTTAGCACCTGACACTTGACCACTTTGTAAAACCACTTCAATCTATCTTCAAAATACTTCCATCAATTCAAAGGCAGAGTCCCTCTCCCCCAGGCAATCACCAACCGGTATGTCACCATTCATTTACTTATTCTGGATGTTTTATATGCATGTAATTTCTGGGGAGATAGCTCAGTGGCATAAGTGCCTGCCTGGCAAGTGCAAGGTCCTAAGTTCAATTCCTGGTACCAAAAAAAAAAAAAAAAAAAAAAGCGTATATGCATGTAATTATACAGTATATGACCTTTTGTTTTGTGGGGGTTTTTTCCCTTCTAGTATGGGACCTTCATGTCTGGCCTTTTTCACTAGTATCATGTTTTTAAAGGCAGCAGGATTTTTTACAATGTTCTCCAGGTGATTCTGATGTGGAATCAAGACAATCACAGACAGATGAGGTGGGGTTCACTTTAACTAAACATTTGTCATGTCCAAGGAACCCACAAGTATCTCATTTACTCCACATAACAACCTATGTAAACCACTCTTGTTTTACAGATGGGGAGACTAAAGCTCAGAGAGGTGAAGTCACCCACTTGACATCACACAGATTTTTTTCACTGGGGATAGGGGAAAATCTCCCTACACTGTTCAGGATAGTCTAGAACCTGTGGACTCAACAGATCAGCCTGCCTGGGACTAACACACCTGCCACCATGTCTGGCATCACACAGATAACGAAAAGCAGATCTGCTGGATTCTGCAGTACTGTACCGTGTCAGCACTGTGACCCAAATCCCTCTCCCAAAGGGGCATTCAGAGAGGAACAATAGGCTATAGCTGTTGGCTGGCCTACCTGTCAACTGCAGGCAAAAGGTAATGTACTGGCTAAGGGACATAGGACTTAAGAGTCACTGCATACCTTTCGTTTCCTTTCATTGAACAATTGAGGAAGAAAGTAAAACAAATTTTAAAAAATACAGAAAAGAACTTATTGCAATTTGTAGAAACACTAATTTTAAACCCAAGAAACCAGACTCAAAAGAAGTAAGGTGCCAGGCACAGTGGCACACACCTGTAATACCAGCACTCAGGAGGAGCCCAAAGACCAGCCTGGGCTACATAGCAGGCCTTATCTCAAAAATAAAAAAAGGAAGAAAGAAAAAGAAAAGCCAGGCATGGTGGCCCACGCCTATAATCCCAGCACTCAGGAGGCTGAGACAGTGAGCTCAAGGCCAGCCTGAACTGCATAGAGACCCTGTCTCAAAAAGAAAAGGACAAAGACAAAGAAGTGCCGGGCGTGGTGCACTCGGGAGGCTGAGGCAGGAGGATTGTTGCAAGCTCAAGGCCAGCTTGGGCTACAAAGTGAGCTCAAGACCAGCCTGAACTGCATAGTGAGATCCTGTCTCAAAATTTAAAAAAAAAAAATTAATCAAGAGAAGAAAACCAGGGGCTGGTGATTTAGCTCAGCAGCACAGCGCCTGCCTGGCAAGCGTGAGGTCGTGAGTTCAATTCCCGGTACCAGAAAAAAAAAAAAAAAAAAAAAGAGAAGAGAACAAGAGGGAAAAAAAGAGAGACCAAAGAAAAAGAAGTTAAGATGATTTGGTCTAAGTCATACAATTCACAAGGGCACCAAAGGAGAGGATTTCCTCAACTTGATAAAGAACATTGCCAGACATGTTGATGCACACATGCAATTCCAGTACTTGGGAGGCTGAGGCAGGATTGCCATGAGATTGAGGCCAGCCCGGGCTACATAGTGAGTCCAAGACCCTCTCTCAGAAAAAGCCCTCTCCCCCTTATTTTGGTTATGCTGGGGACTGAACTTGGGCCCTCATGCATGCTAGCTAGGCAAGTGCTCAATTCCACTGAACTACATCTCCAGACCCGTTGCCATTTTTTTTTTTTAATAGCAGCAATAGAAAACTGGAATGTGAGATCAAGACATAGCAAGTAGTGCTGGGAATTAAGCCCAGGGGTTTCTTTGGCCTTATCTAACAACAATCTTTTTTTCACTTTACCTTTCATAGAATAGTATCCCCTCCTTCAGCAATCCAAGAGGCAATATAAGACATGAGGGATAAGGCAGTTCATTCTACATAGGGATGCACTCAAGACCCCGCCAATTCACACTCACCTAACCCATGCCTAACACTTCCATGAAACAATCTATAATGTACACACACACACACACACACACACAGGTTTACCGGTGCTCTCTACTAGCTTTCTGCTCCCTTACTGAATTACTTTTATATTTATTGACTGGGTTCTAAAACTTTCCTTTTTATTACATACTTGTCATATATTCACCATAGAGAATCAGTACCTGCACATTAGTGTCTTAATTCTTTTTTCTCACCCCCTCCTCCTCTCCCTTCAGCGCTTCTTCCCCTCATTTACACAAGCTTTGTTTGCACTTCCCTTCTGTTCTTTTGTCCCTTTTCCCTTCCCTCCCTCCCCGTCACTCTCCCTCCTTCTTCCCATTTGAACATGTTCTTCCTACTTCCCAATATCTGCCCTCCATTATGCTCCCTATTTATCCTTTAGGTTCCTCGAATAACAGAAGCTATGAGATATTTAAACTTGTATGTCTGATTTAGTTCACTTACGATTACAGTCTCAAGGTGCATCCATTTCCCTACAAATGGCTCAAGTTTATCTTTTTTCTGGTAGAGTAGTGTTCCACTGCACATAAATACCACATTTTCCTTATCCACTCATCTGTTGATGGCCATATGGGCTGTTTCCAAGATTTAGCTATTTTACAATGTGCTGCTGTAAACATGGGATGTGCAAAATCACTGCAGTATGACACCTTTAACTTTTGGGAAGA